TATAGCAGTGTTTGTAGACCTACGAAAAGCCTTTGATGTGGTGAGCTGTGTGATGTATTACTTAAAAAACTTTATTATATGGGATTTGTGGGGACTATACATAGTATTATTGGAACTTATCTAATTGATAGGAGACAGTATGTCAGGTTTAGCGGAGCAGAAAGTGAGGTGGTACTTAGCAATGAGTACGGAGTTCCACAGGAATCCGTCTTAGGACCTGCTATAGTTGATTTATGTTCTTAATCCCAAATATGCAAACCTCAAGGTATTTTGCATTCGCTGATGACACCGTCTTCGTGTATGAGGGTAATGAAGAGACGGCATTGAACAACATGGTAAATGACGATTTGAATTTATATCTGAATTGGCTATACTATAATAAATTGAGAATAAACATAGAAAAAACCGAATATAGGTATACTTTTGAAACAAAAAAATAAACAAGTTGACGATATACAAGTAAAAATAAATAACCTAGTTTTGGAAAACGTTCAAGATATAAAACAATTGGACCCAACACATAAGCCATATCTCTAATAAAATTTTATCTATGATACCAGCAATATACAAATGTAGATATTATTTGACGAATAAAACCAAATCCAATGTATAAAATGTCTTCTTCCAATCACATTTTAGATACCAAACGCCAGTGTGGGGAGCAGGTGGGGTAACGAATTTCAACACGGTTCAAGTACTCCAAACCAAGGCACCTATTAAAAATTCTCATTGGATGACTAGTATCGAAAAATTATATAGAGAATTGAGAATAACAAATTTTGAAGCAAGTGAAATTTATGTATAAAGTTTTAAACAAATACCAAAGATGTAATATAGATATCACAATAACTAATAAAATACATAGCCATGATACTAAATTCTAAAATAATATCCATAGTAATACTTCTGAAACAAATATAGGAATAAATAACCCAATTGTACAGGCATCGAAATCTTTCAACAAAATACCGGAAAATATTAGAAATCACAACAAACACAATAAATTTATAAAAGAAGTCAAATTACATTTAGGAATTAAATAGAAATAAGTCCATCACTGTTAACTAGCATAGTTGTTCGTCGATTTTTAACTGACACTTTCCGTATGAGGAACGAGGGGGTTTTCATATGGCAAAAACAGGTGTGACGTCAGGTAACTATTGGCGTTCTAATGTAGGGAGCCACCAGCACACATTCCGTCCGAGTATCAGATTAAAATCGACGGACAATATGTAAATTTTTCTCGAGGTCAGAGCTTCAAGCACTGATTTGAGAAATAAATGTATTATTGTAAAATGAAAAATGTATGAAAGTATAAATAAAGATTGTTTCCAAAAAAAAAAAAATCGTGTTCTTCAATAAGTACCAGGAAAGCAAATCACTCAAAATTTATTTATATATGTGGACTTTATGAACATGAGAGAATCGATTGTAGATTTTAGAATAATAAAAATAAAGATCAGAATCGACAGAATTCAAAAGCAATTTCAGCAGAACTCAATATTGTGTTGTCTACGGGTAAGTCCTTGGTTGATCGCAATGTCTCCTACTCGGATAGTCGCGTTACCGAACACATGACTATAAGTAGTAGAGCCTTGTTTTCAAGAGTAAAAATATCAAAATCTGGATTAATGTTGGAAACAAGAGAACCATCGGGTGATTCGATTACCAAGAGAGAAGTAGATGGAGTAGAAATAAAAATCAAGATAGCGGATGTACTTGGGACATTTAACCTAATTTCTGTACGGCGATTGAACGAGAAATGATGCAGAATTATGCATCAAAATGCAGAAACAATTATCACCAGAAGAAAAGCAGTCTTGCTTTTTTTATATTTCAAAAGAATCAAACTCATTCTGCAATGCAGTCGTTTCGAACAAATCGGAACTTTTGCACAAGCGCTTCGGACATGTTAGATGTATAACTTTTCGATTCGAAAAAAATACTATATGCAAAATTGTGAGATTTGCATGGTTACAAAAAATCATGAAAGAAAGATAGCGAACAGCCAATTAAGAACTCAATAATCAGTCGAATTTGTAATATTATCGCATGAAATTGGATAATTTTTCCAAAAGGGGATCCAATAGGTATGCGTCCGCTACTCCAGCAGAATAGAACGATGCTGCCATGGATGGGTGCTGCTGAAAAAATTAACATAATTTCCATTAATGAATGAGCTTTTTTGGACAGGAGCAGTTGTGACTAGGATATTTAACCCAAGCTTTGAAAGCTGCTTTTGTGACAACAAAACTATGGTTTGAAGAGACCCTAGACTAAAAAAACTGAGTATTTTAATTGTTAATAGCCAATTATCATCTACCAAGAGAGTCGAACAATGGAAAACTCTACATTCTGGTGGAAGAATATTTCATAATGGGTCACTATCATTATGTCAGATTTGATGGGAATTTGTTAAAAATTTGCCAGTCGAAATCACAAATTCAGTAGGGAAGAGAGGGGAAGGTTTTGAAGTAGAATCTGACGAAGATGAAAAATAATCGTGAAATATCGAGAATACAAATTAAAAAGCATTGTTAGAGAAGTGGATGGAAATATTGATGATATAGAACATATACAGGACGACTAAAAACCTCAAGAAAATACAAACAAAATATCTTAAGAGTTTAGGCTGACATTGTACTGGAAGCAGATTCGCACCTTGACAATGTTCCCCAAAAATTTTCTGGAATAAATGAAGCCAAAAATAAATGGAAGCTGTTCAGGAAGAAGTTGATTCACTCAGACTAACTCGAACCTTGCCCGAAGAACGGAATTTCGTTCAAACACAAATGCTTTTGATGCCAAATAGATTTCCAAGTTGAAGTTCAATGAAGATTGAAGTTTGAAACGGAACAAGACTAGATTGGTGGCTACAGGATTTCTGTAAGATTGTCGCTGACTGGAAAAAAATAATATCACATTTATCAAGACGAAGGCTTATTTTCATGTATTGAAGTTGATAATTTAATAGCTAGAATTGGCTCAGTATCAAATACAGAGTACACTGAAACATGTTATGGACCAGTTGCTCGTTTGACAACGGTTAAAATATTTTTGGCCATTGTAAATGAAAAAAATTGAATTTTATATGGATACATTTAATCGCTTAACACGTTGACTGCCGTCCATATTTTCTGAGGCATTCTCGGACGCCGTTAAGTTTTACGCCGTTAAGTTTTATTCGTTTTGTTTGGTATCCATGTTTAGCGACACAAAAAATAAAAAAAAGCGTAACCAACTAAAACACGTGCTGGACAAATGCATTTAGAAGGACGCCGGAACGACTGCGACATTCTCTCGCAAACGCCTACTGAATATTAGACTTACAAATTAAGCATACACAAACTCCGATCGGGGTAGTTGGCGTCGCCGATTGGTGTCAGTAAACTCCGATCGGAGTGGTCGGCAGTCAACGTGTTAATGGATTTGGATATGAATCAAACAGATCTATCAAGGTACAACAGAAGTCGTTTTATGGACTAAACTTGCTTCGCTTCCAAGGGCTAAGGATTGGAGTGAATTCTTTTTTGAAGAGTTTAAGTGTGAGCAATGAGCAAGGTAATTACGAAGTTTCTTGATCACAAGTTTGAGAGTAACACAAAAATCTTCTGCTTCAATGAATTGATTTGGCGATCAACGACAAACATTGACAATGGTATTCTGGGCGCAGAATTCAACTTGAAAGATATGGACTAGTTGAGGAGTTTTCCAAGATATCCTTTTTCTATCGAAACAAAAAATTGTAGATCATTAATTTAAAAAAAAAAGTCGGCAATTGAAGTCAACTTTTTTAAAATAAGTTTTCGCATGTGCTTGTCCAACTTTGCTAATTATTCAGAGGCTCCACATGGTGTGGAGCAATTAAACAATCATATTTTGTCCCAATTTTTGCCGCGCAGACAAGTAACTATTAATTCACGGACAAAACGTTCCTCGAACTTTGTTGGTGGCCTTTGTATTATTGGCAGCATGCCTATTTTTCTCCTTATTCTTTTACTATTTAAATGATTGTTATCTTTACCTATATTATACTTAATCTAAGTCGGTGTCATTATGACACATTTAGCATTGTCATTTGAGTGTCATTAGGTCTTTCATAATAACACTAGTGCGTTTAAGAATTCATAAAAACATCCAAATTATGAAATGAAAAATATACAAAAAGAAAGCTAGTTACCAGAAGAAACTTTTCATTGATGCTGTCTCGATATACAAAGGGACACTTTCGAACTTAGAATCACCAATATTGCCATTATTTTCCACTATAAAACTGAATTTATGGCACAAAAATTGACTCCAATATTGAAGCTGCCAAAGTCAAAATTCTAAAAATCAACAAGCAGGTTCCCGACTAGTACGGGCACCTGCTAAATTTTGAATTTTAATTTGAAAAGTATTGGCTATTAGGCAATTCAATCCATCTGTCAAAATGGAAAATTCAATATGGCGTGGCGGCCAAGCAAGTTTGTTTTGATTATGTTTTTATGCTTATTTTAAATTATTTTGCTTAGAATTTGGTTTGCAACTTTGATTTTGATTATTTAATAAAATATTTGTTAATTAGGAACCTGAACTATTTATTAGGGTAGAAACTAGATATTTTTTTGTGTTTTTTGGCTCATGTGTGGCCGCCACGCCATCTTGATTGTCACGTGGTTTGAATTGCCTAATTTCAAGGCAAATCAAATCTATTTGGACCATCGTAGATTAAATTTTGAATGATACACGTTCGATATGAACTTTTTTAATGAAATTTGTGTAACTAAACCACTCGGCTGACGCCTCGTGGTTTAACGTTACACGCGTTTCATTATGGTGTTCATATCGAACTAGTATCATTAATAACTATTATTTGATAATTTAAATTGAGCTAAGCACAATAAAATTACTCGAATTGAAAACTTAATTATCAATTTGTCAAATTGATTTATTATCATGAAATAATTCAATATAACTGACGTTAATAATTATTAATACATTATTTTTTTGAATTCCAGGGTCTTAGTTGGTGCTCCAGAAGGTCAATCGCAATACTCAACTGGAGAAATTACTCAACGAGGAGTTGTGTATAAGTGCCGGACTGATGGTGATGATTTCTGCCAGGAAATTCCTTTCGACAGGAAAGGTAAGCATCACAACATTCCTTATTCCTTTTAGAAATAAGAAATAATCCAGGTCAAAGTTTTTTACGTTATTCTGCAACATATGGTTTGGGTACCTTATGGCTTTAGCAAGTCTTGTAATACCTACCTACGAAATTTGCTTTGAAAATTCGCATTATTCTTCATTTGGAAGATAATGTATGCGAAGATCGGCTCACCGCAAAATAACTCATCGTAATTATGCTTATTATCATGAGGCCTCTGGTTATTATCTCGAAAAGAAAACAATATGATTGGAAAGTAATTCCAGTAATGAGCTTGTATATATCGTGCATACGGCGAATCGGATGTTTACATTATAACTTTAGAGCAGTATTTTTAGATTGATAAAAACTTATTGGATTTATTGGTAGGAAAAACATTTAATATCTAAATTCATTATGCCAATTGGTTAGTGATTTTTTGCCCAAATCCCTATTAAATTTAAAGGTATTATTATCTGGTCCTGCCTGCGCCACTGGAAATTCCATACAGAAGCTGCATGATTTATGAGCAGATTATAGATTAATCTATTATGATAATCAGTGCCATATTTATGCATGCAAATATATTGTATAAGGATCGATCTAGGTCCATGAGATACTGACGTCGTGGCCGGTACCAGACCGTCGAGTGCTGCACTGTATAAGTATATGGTTGACATTCGCAACAAAATATCTCGTAAGGTCTTAGAGGAACATTTAAAGTCGCATTGTATGTAGATATCTTCAGCACGCTTTACTCTATATAGAGAGGAGGAGAGCCGTGCTTAACGGTCGAGGATTAAATTTGTAGAGACGGCAAAAATGCGATTATTGCAAGCCGCTACTGAGTTCTTAATGTTTACTCTTTGACGGAGGAGAGAGATCATAAAATAAACAAATCAGGAAGGTGCACCTGGGTAATTTTTTTTTTTAATGGTTTCGTGAAAGGTTTTTGTGTGAAATGAAATATGGGCATCTATCTATACACATAATTAATGTTGGTTCGAATGATTTCACGGGTGGTAATACTGTACTTCTGGTCGTTATTATTCCGTGTGGGCATCCGTTACTACAACCATAACTAGTATAGGGTTTATGGTTGTAGTGTGACGTCGACCTACGAATAGAATGAGAATGTTTCATACCATGTCGATGGAAAAGTTGTTTTGAAATCGACTTTACCATCTGCCTTTTGATTTAGTGATGCCTTCCATACACAGTCGTGTTCTTTTTATGTTGTCCTTCATTGCCACCGAAGTGATTATTGTTCAAGATTATATTTTTTGGTTGGGACCTTCAGTATTCTGCCTATATTCGTTAATTTGTCTGCCGTCTCGTTGCATGTCCCGGTATCCAGGCTAACTTGATGTCGTAACCCATTTCGTTTGCTGTTATTATTAGGTTTTGAGGAATAGATAGAGTATTGATTTGATCTTTTTCATTTGGGTTTGAGTTCAGTATTTTTATTTTTCACAATCTATTTCTGTATGGAAAGTCGTAGATAATTACTTGAAATAAATGTGGTGCCTGTTCTTCTCCAGTAGCTACCTTATTTTAAGTTTTGTAGTGTTTTTTTCTTAGATTAAGTAGGAATGATCTATACTCTATGTATGGTGGGTTACCAATCTTGTGTAGATGCTAGTCATAGTGTGTGAGCCGGCATCCCATCTTAATTAATCTTTAATAAATATTGAGAATATGTACCCCCTTTTTCGCCTTTTGGGTTACGTATTATATGTGTTTGTTCCAGTTGAATGTGCTGTCTAGTGTCTCATTCCCAGAAAACGATTCCTAGTATTGTATATTTTTTCCCTGTATGATGACTGGGGAATAGATTGTTCCTCTTTTTCCTTTGGTAAATAATATTGCTTGGGCTTGGCACTTGTGTATTGATAAAATTAGCTGTTGTCCGTTACCCATTGTATAGTTTAGAGCGCCATTTATTTTATTAATAACTTGCAATATGTTATTTCCTTTGGTAAATAGAACCACCTACATATATCATCTGCGTAAGACATTATGGTTATTTCTATGGTCAATATTTCGAGTAGGTAACTGTTTCCTGTACTTATATATTGAAATAATAGCATTTTCATTGAAGATCCTTGTGCCCTGGAGGTCGTTTGGGGTCCAATGTGTCTTTCCAATGTAAACTTTTTCAGGATTTTGTGTATAGTGTTGTATATTTCTGTATTTTTGAGATTTTCTTGTGATTTATATAAATGACGGTGTCGAATGCAGATATGTTTAAGGTCCAGAAACACCGCTATCACGGATTTGTTTTGGGTGCGAATTCAAGAACAAAGTACACACAAGTTATGTTGGTTACACAAGATAACACCGACTCATGTTACATTAGCTCTGTTCCAACTGACATGAGAACCGTTCTAGAACGGTTATTTCCAGTTGCCTACTTATTTCTCAATAAGTTGAACCTTTATCCTAATTGACAAATGAATTGATCTACTGACAATTACCGTTCTAGAACGGTTCTCATGTCGGTTGGAACAGAGCTATTGGCAATAAATGGACGGACATGGTACAAGAAATGAAAGAGGCAACATGCTTATCAACTACTTAGAAAGAGAGCAACTCTTTGCGATGAACACATTCTCCAAAAAGATACTTAACAAAAACCGGACATGGACAAGCCCGGAAAGAAAAAATCACATAATCCAAGATGTAGACTGTAGACGTCTTAGGCTCATTCACGACTGGCAGCGAATCAGCGATGATAAAATGATAAGATGTAAAATATCCATAAATGGCAGACTAAAAAGAACAAAGAAATTCTACTTCCCCCAAAGGAATTAGGCACAAATACCGTAGTAAAACCAATACAAAAAACGGAATGCGCAACAAAATTAAAACAAAAAATAGAAAAAAACTCCATCAAACCCCACGAATACACGAATCAAATTAATAAAAAAGCTAAAAGACTAACGGAAACAATAAAATATCATCAAACCAAAGGATAGGCCAGACAAATTTAACAAAATGCTGAAGAAGAGAAAAGAAGTCATAAAAAAAGGAAAAAAGATACACCAGAATACAGAGAGTCTAACAAAATAGCCAGAAGGATGACAAAACAAGTCAGCACATCGAAAAACTGATAGAACAAAAAAAGGTTCATACGTTTTCAAAAGGGAGAACGAACACAAAAAAAAAAACATTCACAAATATTACAGTCATACAAGGATTCATCTACTGAAAAAATCCGAGTGAGCCTAAATTTTGTCTACACCTTTATTTTACCTCAATAATTAATGTATTAAAAGTCCCCACCGATATTTTGTTTGCGTTCCAAGATATTCAAGGTCAAACATCACAGAAATGAGTTTTTCTTAAATATTTTGCTTTCGGTATGTCCTACGACTATTTTCGCTAAAAATATTGGGAAATTCTCAATAGTAATATAACTATTTAGTGCAATGGAAATTATAAATATATTTCCATTGCACGAGTTGTATTTAATGAGAGAATTTCATAAATCAAAAATTTAAATTTTTTGTCAAAAAATGTCAAAACACCAGTTTTCGCACCAGTTAGTATGCAATTATCTGATAATTTGCACTAGTGCAAATTATCACGTAATTACAATCTGAATGGTTCAAATCAACAATCAAAACATGTCAATTTATTGTTGGAATACCAGTTTTGACAGATGTATGAAATTCTCTTCAAAAAATGTAATTCACATATTTGACATCATACTAACCGTTTCCACCTGATACGCCAGAAAAACAGAGGGTAGCATCCGTTTCCACCCCACCCCAGAGGTGAGATGCAAGGCGCGTTTTTTTACATTGTATTTTTACTGTAGGCCTAATCCATGATCTTTCTTGTTGTGACTTTTAGATGTAGAATGTGCGATTTTCATTCTCGTAATCTATCCCCTCTTCCACGACGTACGAATGTTACATTAAACACAGCATCGGCTCATAATGTATTTGGTGTTAATATTTGTACCGTTCAGTTCTGGCTCCGAAATACCGCGCCCCGTACCGAAAAGATTTGGGTAGTGGGTAGACTGATCAGGACAAGTCTCGGTTGTACAGACAAGTCCAGCAGGATAACCGCAATCCTTATGTCCTGGTTGAACGTACCGACATAGATCCACCTCGTTATACTTCCTACCCTGCTGAGACACGCGATACTGAATTTGTCGCTAGAAGATTTTGGGGACTGGTGCTGAACCTAGGGCTTATTTCTTCGATAGTTGTATTATTTCTTTATCTGCGCATTGGTCCCTGGTTTTTCTTTCTCCACTGTAACAAGCTACCTGGTGCTAGTGGGCCCTCAACCACTATAATCTTGAGAGTGGCGCCCGAGATTACCGCTGGATCACCCAAAAGATAGATACCGACTGTTAAGCTGCCACAGCTCAAGGAAAAACCTAGGAAAACCCAGGAAAACCCGTTACAAATTTGGCGCCCGAGCAGGGACCATTTTGCGCATCAGCAACTGACCGTAAAGATTACGTCAGCATCCGTCCCCCGTTTCACCGAGAGGCCATTTATTTTAGTATCGACCGATGGGTTGACCGTTACATCGTGGTATATTTCTTCATGGTTTCTTCAGGAGCAACGGCGCTGCTTGGTGTTACTATTTTAATAAGCCCCATCTATTGTGTAGACATTAATATCTGCATTGTCTGCTGGATACTAAATAAGAGCACAATTTGTACAATTCGAAGGCGTTTCTTTTGCCGGTTGAGATTTCTTATTTTCATACCAAGCTTTACTTGAAATATCACTTTGAGTATCGCGGAAACAAATCATGGTCGAAAAGGAATGAAGTTTTGTCGGTTACAACAACTGAAAAGCGTGGAAATTGAAAATGAAAAGAAAGCTAAGGAAAATTGGAGGATTGAAAATTTTGGTCCTGGGCGGGATTCGAACCCACGTCCTTAGCATCGCCGGTGCTACGCTCTAACCAACTAAGCCACCATGACCCTACAGATCTTTTTGATTTTTTTGATTGGTGTTGTAAGAAGAAGT